TGTTCAGCCTCACAACAACCACAAGTGACCGCTGTACGGCAACTTGTACACCAGGGCTGTACGACCTAGAGGAATGTCTGAACAAAAACAATGAAAGACAGGCCTGAGGGCCACAGATTAAAAGTCACCCACCTTTGGCTTGGTAGCATCACTTTCTGTCCACTGGGCCAGCTGATCTCTCTCTCCATGTTGATGTTATTGTTGTTAAGTGCCGTCGAGTTGCAGGCGACTCATAGCGACCCTATGAAGGAGAGTCCTCAACGCTTGGGTGTCTGTCATCCTCTCTCCAGGTTCATAGGGTTTCCGAAGGCAAGCTATTACGGAAGTGGATGCTACTCCTACTTCCAAGCTTGTTTAAATTGGGGAGCTCCTATCTAGCCATGGACATGCTCACAATCTATGCCAGGAAATTGGAAGACAGCTTTCTGGCCAACTGACTGGAAGAGGTCCATGTTTGTTCCCATTTGCAAGAACGGTGATCCAACAGAATGTGGAAATTATCAAATAATATCACATGCAAGCAAAATACTGCTGAAGATCATCCAAAACCGGCTCGAACAGTAGATTAATAGAGAACTTCCAGAAGTTTAAGCTGGGTTTAAAAGATTCCATGGCACTAGGAATATCATTGATGATGCCAGGTGGTTCCTGGTTGAAAACAGAAAATACCAGAAAAATGTCTGTATGTATTTTATTGAGTATGCAGAGGCATTTGACTGTGTGGATCCTAACAAACTATGGCTGACATTGAGAAGAATGAGGCTGCCCACGCACTTTATGACCATACAAAACCTGGGTCTAGATCAAGAAGCTGTTGTCCACTCAGAGCAAGGGAACACTGCATGGTTTAAAAGCAGGAAAGGTGTGCATCAGGGTTGTAACTTTCCTCCATACTTATTCAACCCATATGCTGAGCAAATCATTCAAGAAGTTGGAATCTATGAAGAAGTATGTGGATTCAGGATCTCAGGAAGACTCAGCAACCTCCACTACGCAGATAATACAACTTTGCTTGCTGAGAGTGAGAACTTGAATTGTTTGCTACAGAAGATCAAAGCCTTTAATATGGATTGCATCTCAACATCAAGAAGACAAGAATCCTCACCAATGGGCTGATAAACAGCATCATAACAGAGAAAAGATTGAAATTGTCACCTAGCTCATCTTACTTAGATCCACAATCAACACCCTTGAAACTAGCAGTAAGGAAATGAGGAGACGTGTTGCACTGGGCAAGTCTGCTGTCAGGGGCCTCTCCAAAGCACTGAGGAGCAATGATGTTCATTTGAAGACTAAGGTGCACCTGATTCAGGCCATGGTCTTTTCAATCACTTGCTATGCATCTGAAAGTTACAAAATGAATAAAGATGACAGAAGAAGAATTTTAGCTGTGGTGTTGGGGGAGAGTAGTGAAGATTCCATGGATGGCAAAACAACAACAAAACCAAAAAAAAACTACTTTCTAGGAAAAAGTGCAGCCAGAGTGCTCCTTGGAGGCAAAGAGGACAAAGCTTCATCTCACTTTGGGCATGTTGCTGGGAGAGGCTGTTCCTTGGAACAAGACATCATGCTTTGAGAGGTCAAAGGTCAGAAAAAGACACCGCCACACACCATACCCAAGGAGATGGTCAGCCCAGTGATTGCAGCAATGGGCTCAGGTGTGTCGGAGATGATGAGGACGGCACAGGACAGGACAAAGGTCTGTTCATGGAGTCGCTGAGTCATACTCCACTCAGCCACCCCCCAACTTCACAACCAACAGATCAGATAGTGCTAGGTAGCCAGGCTGACACACAGCCTACCGGCATACCCATCACAGTGCCTCGTCTGGAATGACCAAGCCTTTGAGGAGGTCTTGAGCAAAGCTTAAGGAGGATCCAAGAAGAACTGAGGCTTTTTTATTTTATTTTATTATTTTTGTGTGAGTGTACCGTCAAAGCAGATCTGACTGGTACAGGAGGAGATTGTCCCTCCTTCCCCGGCAGAGCATCTGGTGGATTTGAACCGTGCACATCTGGGATTGTAGTTGCAGCTCCTTGCCACTAGGCCACCAGAGCTCCCCGAACTGAGGCTTTTGAACCGGGATGTTGGGAAAGAATATTGAAAATCCCAAGGATTAAACCTGTTTTGGCAGAAGTGCAGCCAGCGCTCTTTCGAGGTACAGATGGGGACACCTCGTCTCACCTACCAAGCACATGTTATCAGACGGCGCTAGTCCTTGGAAGATGACATCCTGCTTGGAAAGGCAGAGTGTCACTGCAGGAGAGGGAGACTCTCAACGGGACAAGTTGACACAGTGCCTGCGTCCATGGCCTTGAGCGTGCCAGAGGTGGGGAGGAGGGTGCAGTGGTCTGAGATGGGCAAGGTTTCGATCTGCTGTTCGCACGGTTGCTGTGAACTGTGGCTGGTTCTCTGGCACCTAACAGCGAACAAAGCAGCTCTGAATTCATGAGGTCTCATTGGCCAGTTTGGTCAGAGGTGGACTGTGAGTTTGGTTTGTGTTGGTCTGGAAGGTCCACCAAAACCTGTCTGCCATGAGTGACCAGCATCACAGCCACACAGTCACCACAACGTGGCGAAGAGAGGGACAAGCTGGGTGATCGACAAGCAGGCTGGACTCAAGGCAGCAGCACTGGGCCCCAGGCTGGCAGCGACTGGGCAGTGCTGGACTGGGAGGCTCATTCTGTTGGACGTGGTCACTGTGAGCGGGCCCCAGGTCAGCAGCAAACAGCAAAAACACGTCCTCAGCCATGAGTGACCTTCGACATTTACAAACCTGGCTTCACACCAGTCCCACTGTGAACTTGACTGGGAAGTCATTGAAACGACTTCCAGAATGTTCATTAAGTTCGGTTCCACCCCAGGTTCATTCTTGTCCTTGCCCTAATATTTCATTTTCTGAGAAGCACAATTATTTTCTCAGTCAACTGCTGACCTATGATCCGTGTTACAGTGAAAGACAGTAGAGAGATGCTTAAATTAAACCATTTTCTTGTAGGTAAAAGTATGATTTTTAAAAAGTAGTGGGTGGCCCAAAACGATTTCTTTTACACACTAGACACACAGATGAAGAAACCGGAAGGGTCCTCTACGCCCTGAGAACAGCTTGGAGGCCAGCCCCTCGTAACTGCCCTGGGCACCACACTGCCAGGTGCCCGCTGAACAGGGCGGCCCCAGGGCTTCGCCTCCACAGGGAATGCTGCAATTGCCAAGGGGACTCACAGGAATATCCGGGAAAGCGCGTCCTGTTGCCATTTAGCCACTTGGCCAAATTTAGAACAAATGTCTTCTCTGTCTTCAGCATCCAAGCAATGCCAGGGCCCTGGTTCTCCGGACCTGAGAGTGGACTGACCGGTGGGAGCACAGGGCGGGGGAGAATGCAGACTAGACAGACAGGGCTGGGCCCCGCTTGCTCCTGCAGCTTGAGAGAGAGCACGCCTTGGGGGTCACATCAAGCTCCGCTTTTAACCAAAATTACCAAAACCCAATTGTGTGTGTGCTATTAGGAAATGAGGGGCTACCGACCTGGGGCAGTCATCGAGGTACAGGAGGGCTTCCTTCCTGCATGTGGGACCGGCTGTGTCCAGGTTGTGGGGGCCTGGCTGCGTCCAGGAGTGATTTCTTTCCTGGGTGTGGGGCTGACCCCCCAGTTAGTTCTGGCCGAGGAGGGGTTGCTGTCCTGTGTTCAGGTTGTCAGGCACTGGGTGGTGTCACCTTTGCGCTCACCTGGAGGCATTAGCTCTGCTCTGTTCTATGTTACTTGCCTTCACTGACTTTTTGCCCCACAGATTGAAGGTTGGTGCCCCGGCAGGTCTTTGGCATCATTTCCCCTCCTCCCACAGCCATGCTCACGTCATGTCTGCTGGTCCCACAGGTCACTGTCATAGGAGGTCAGGCTTTTTCATCACTCTGTTGCACATGCATAGATTCCAGCACGGTGTCCACATACTTACATAAGCAAAGGGAAGCTAGACAAGAAGCGTTGCTGGCTTTGGGGTGATAGTCACGTCACTGCGGTCGTCAGCAAACTGACGGTATCCATGAGGCATGTTCCTCCTAATAAGAGACTGGTGGTGAGAACCCACCGAGGCACTGCAGAGGGAAGGCCTGGTGCTCTGTAGAAATGACAGCCACGCAGACGGCAGGGAGCAGGTGTGCTGTGGAACACGCCGACTGCCAGGAGCTGAGATAACGCGGGAAAATATGGGGAACCCGGATTCACAGACACTGCTGTCAGGTTGGGTCCCGGGCAGGGAGCTCTGGCGGCCTAGTGGTAAGGAGCTGCACTCCCAACCCCAAGGCAAGCAGTTCGCGTCTACCAGCTGCTCCATGGGAGAAAGATGGGCAGTCTCCTCCCCTGTGACTTTCGGCCTCTGAAAACTCGCTGGAGCATCGGCTGTAGTTGGTTCCGACTTGACGGTACACAACAACGACACCACCACGGTGACTCTCCACAGGGCTCCAAGCCTCTTTACAGCTGCAGACTGCCTCGTCTTTCAGAGCTGCTGGTGGATTTGAACCACTGACGTCTCCGTTGGCAGCCCAGCCCATTATGCTCCATGTACCAAGGCTTGCTTCTTGAAGAGCATAGGGATTTGATGTCAAAACAAAAATAAAGACCCCCTCCAGGCTTTGCTGGTCCCCGAGTCCTCCCTCAGCTCTGCCCAGAGGTCAGGGTCACTCTGCTTTGAAAGGGCAGGTGTGGGTGTGGGTGTCTCTTAGTTCTCGCTGGCCTTCCCATCATCTGAGGATAAATGGCCATCTTGTTCACGCGAAGGGACTTTCGGTGGCCACTTGGATCACGGGACGACACTAAGGGGATTCCAGGACGCCATGTCTGTGTTGAACAATAAGTGGCTTTCCCCCTCTTTGTCAGGTCGTCTAGAAGATCAGTATGTAATTCGATTTGTGAGAGAAAAGCTGAAATCCATGCCTTGTAGGAATCAGGGTTACGTCTTGGATGGGTTCCCGAAGACCTATGAACAAGCAAAAGACTTGTTCAATCGTAAGTCTGTGTGTTCCCATATTTTGAATGCTTCTATCTGGATGAAGGAGCCGTGGTGGTGCAGGGGTTAAATCCTCAGCTGCCCACTGCAAGGTGATCAGTTCGAATCCACCATTTGCTCCGTGGGAGGAAGGCTTGCAAGCCCTATAGTGCAGCCCTCCTCAGGCCCACAGACGAGGGGAGACATTATTCTCCCAAGAAAATAGTCACTCAGTTCAAACAAACCAGCGTGGAGATTCCTTGTCAAGCGCGTGCTGACCTAGCCGCGACGTGTTCTACTCGCTGGTGACTAGCTCAGATACTGCCACTCATTGCTGGTGGGGAGTTAACCCCAAATCCATGCCTCCCTGGCCGTTGGGTCCACCAGCAAGCAGCTCCACAGAGAAAGGCGGTGAGTCCCTCCTGGGATTCCAGCCTCCACGCTGCCGGAGGGTCAGCCCGACGCGGCAGCAATGACAGAGTCAGCGATATTTGACTGGGTGGGATACACATAGCAACGGTATGCTCGTGACTATGCCTGTGTGCATTTTCTTTTAGAAGAAGAGGAGGAGGAAGAAGAAGATGTCAAAGGCAAACTGTTTCCCTTCGATAAGTTAATCATCCCTGGTGAGTTCAAAAGACTTCTTTAAGATGGTGTTTAAAAGCATACTCTCTTATTGGTACCAAAACTATCTCTTACAGTTTAATAAAACGGATGCAGGAAAAGAAATGCAGATGTGACACTCCAACACCAAATAACGAACTGGAGAGTATGTTAGAAGTCCTAGGGATTTTTGAGTTTGTAGGAGGCATGCTGGCATTATAAAGTATTGTGCCGCTAACCAAATGTGAGCCGTTCAAACCACCAGCTGCTCTGAGGGTTGTGAGGCAGTGTCCCCTCCTTCTCCAAGGGAAGGCTGTGAGAGAGTGTCCCCCAGCTGATCCAAGGGACGGTTGTGAGGCAGTGTCCCCCAGCTGCTCTGAGGAAGAGCTGGTCCCCAAGCTGCTCCGAGGGAGGGCTATAAGGCAGTGTCCCCTCCTGCTCTGAGGGAAGGCTGTGAGAGAGTGTCCCCCAGCTGCTCTGAGGGAGGTGCATGAGGCAGTGTTCCCTAAGAAAGATTTACAGGTGAGCTCTGGTGGCCTAGTGGCAAGAAGCTGCACTGCAATCCCAGAGGTGCACGGTTCAAATCCACCAAATGCTCTGCTGGAGAAGGAGGAACAATCTCCTCCTGTACCAGTCAGATCTGATTTGACGGTACACATACACACAAAATAATAAAATTTTTGAAAAAAGAAAGAGAGAAAGAAAGATTTACAGTCTCAGAAACTCGATCGGGGTCTCCCCAGTCAGACTCTACTTGAAGGCAGTGAAGTTAGCCGTGGACTCTGTCCTCCTTCCACTGTCACTAGGAGTGTTCCTCTCCATCACACAGCAGAGCCCTGGGATGCTGTGCCTTCCGCGGCCTGGCTGCCTCGGCTCCACAGTCCCAGGTGCCAGCCAGTGGGTCAGCCTTCCTGGGCACTCAGGACGCTTGTCTGCTATGGGCAACGGAGCCCTCAGGACGCACCCGGCTGTGCCCTCTCTCTCTTCCTGTGTTGGCAAAGCTTTCACAACCGCCCACTCAGCAAGGCGACAGGCGTTTCCTGTGACCTTGCCATGAACTTGAAGGAGAAGCCTTTCCATCCATTCACATGAGAGTTCATCAAAGGGGCTGGTTCTGGGTCATGTTGCGAATTCGGGAGCAGCTATTCTCAGCCACACCGGACAGGGCTGTAGCTCCGAAGTCCTGCCCACCAGTGACACATCCCGACAGAGCCAGTGTCCATGGCTGCTAGTGCCCACCTTCTCCTTTTAGGGCAGGCACAGATTCCGGAGAAACTTCCAGAATCCTGAGGCCTCAGATAACAGCGCCCTTCAGGGGTGAAAACTCACTATCCTCCCGAGAGCCCTCAGTCTCCAGAGAGATGGGTGCTCCTGGTTTCCTGTCAGCATAGATGCCTCTCCTCAGGGACAGAGCAGTGACTCCAGATGCTGGTCACTCATGAGAGCAAACCCAGGGGGTCCTGACCCTCTCAGCAGGCGGCCAGCGGACACTCAGAGGACACTCAACTTCAGGAATGCCCTCAAGGCGCACACCCCCTGGGAGAGACGCAGGGACCACAGTGTTAACATCAGGATTGTCGCGTGCCATCGAGTCGACTGTCCCCAGAGACCTCGTGGGCAGCAGATCTGGACCCTGTGCTGTCCCGGGCCATCCTCATCATCTCCACCAAGCGCCACTCCACACAGCCCCCGTGGCCAGGCGTCCTGCTGAGGGACCCACCACCTTCCCCAGCATGATGTCCTTCCCTGAGGACCAGCTCCTGGCAACGTGCCCAGAGCGTGTGAGAAGCTCCGTGCCTCCGAGGAGGCCCCTGGCTGCAGCTCCGCCAGGACCCGTACGTAGAGTGTTAGCACTGTTGACAGACGCCACTCAGTCGGCCTCAGCTCCGTGACTCCGTGTTCCACAGAAGAAGACAGTGTCCACTCCAACGTCACCCTCCGAGCCTCGTGAGCGAGCCCCTGCCGGGCCCCTGGAGGAGCCTCGCTTTGGGGGTCTGCCTCTTGTTCACTGACCTTCTGATTTTCCAGCTCGAAGTCCTTCCCCGGGCACTGGCCTCTCCTGATACTGTAAAGTGCTGCAGACGCGTGCGAGGGAGGCTGGCCATGCTTGCTCCTTGTCGCACTTCCTCCAGGATTGAGTCGCCTGCCGCTCTGGCTGTCCATTCATGCTCTTCACCAGCATTCATTCACTCCTTATTCATCCTCCTCACTCTTCCTTATTCATCGTCCAACTTCGTATGTAATTAATTATTTTCTTGCGTGTACACAATTATATTAATATGATTTACAAATTGGAAAAGCAGGTCATCGCCACTATCCACAGTCTTGGATCAGTTGGAATCTTCCTCCTCCCAGCTGGTCTGGAAAATGAAGTCTTTGAAAGTGCTGGCATGTTCACAGACTCGCACGCTCACCTCCACACACCTGCCGTCAGGGAGAGTCAGTGGCTCAGTCCCCAGGGAGCCACTGACATCAACCACACCCTAGTCCGATGCCAGCATTTTAGAACCCAGATGCCGCCTTTCCTTTTGAAAATGTAGATATTCAAGAAAATGAAACAGTGTGAGATGAACAAAACGAAAATGGTCCTACAGTGGTGATGTCAGCTGGGGCTGTGAACTTGGGCGTTCAGTTAGCCTGTAAGATCTCCAGGGATTGGGGCCAGCTCAGCTTCAACAGTCATGGTGTCCAGGAGCCCCTCGTCCAGCCTTGATTTCCACTGTTGATACAGCAGCAAACACTAACCTGCTCACCTGTGTCCCCACATCCTGTGGCAACTCCCCGCACACTTCCCTCCCCACTCAGAAAGGTGACTGGATGCAAGTCAAGGCAGATGGCACGCTCACGCAGCGACGGCTCTACGTCATCTCCAAGCTGACGGGTCATCAGATGATCTGTGGCTGCGCTGGCCTGATGCCCAGTGCTCTGGTCCTGCTGTCTGACGCAGACTTGTGCTGTCCGGAGACGAGGACGCTGGTGAGCCCACGACACTGCTCTGTGCTTGGTCACTCTGTCACTCAGCACTCTGGCCCCTGGGACTTGGCACTAGGAGCTCGAGGAAGAGCTGTTTGCACAGTTTCAAAGATAAAGTCAGGGAGTTCTGACCACAGCGGTTCAAATCCGCCAGCTGCTCTGTGAGAGAAGGGTGGGCACTCTCCTCCCCTGTGATTGGTAGCTCAGAAACCCAACTATGAGGGGTTCTTCTGACCTGAAAGCTGTTAGGTGGGTAGGACCCGGGAGCCCACAGCTGGTGAGGGTTGGTCACAGGCCTTGAGTGAGGAGAGGGCTGTCTCCAGGGAAAACAAACCCCCAGGGTGTGTTGCTTTCTTCAGCCTGGTAATCAGGCCACGAGCCCCCTCCCCCTCGGACCCCACCCACGAAATTGTGCTGGAAGAAGCCAGCGAGGATGAATGAGTGTGGAAATGGGCTGCAGGTGGCGGTGGCTGCATCTGACCTCATCGGCAGCAGCCCAGAATTGACTCCACCCCCACCCGCAGCCTCCTCTGAGATTCTGATGGCGGTGGTCCTGCCCACAGCACACTGCCTCACACTCTTCACTGTTGGAACCCTGCATGTGTAGTGACCACTTGAGACTCATAGATAATATTCACAGTAGTGGGGTTCCTTAGGTCACATCAGGACCTGGGGATCAGGACACACCTCCTGAGTCAGGACCTCTCCTCGTCATGCCCACAGGCTGGCCTCCCTCTGGCCTGTAGCCATGCAGACTTTGGCCTCTGCCCTGCATTTCAAGTCCTGACTTCCCCCCACCTCACCGGCAAGCGAGGTCTGAGGCACTCTCGCTCTAGCTCCACATGTCAAGCCCAGCCCCTAACAAATGCCGGAAGGTGTCCCACTCCACCAGCAAGCATCTGGCTGGAGGACACTCAGCTTTCTGGCTGCCTGAACCAGGGACCCACAACTCTGTCTCCTACCAGTCTCCAGTTCTCCATCTCTGCTGTGTCCGAATTATCACCCTGCTTCCTAGTGCAAATGGGGTTCCACACGGGGACCTCCGGTCCAAAGAGCAGCCTGGACTCACTCTTCTTTCTTGACAGTAGTGAAATTTCCATCTGTCGAACAGCTCAATCTAAGCCTGGTGGGATGGCAAAACAGACTGATTCCAGGTCCCACCCAAAGGGCGCCATGCACTTGTTCAGGAGCTGGCCAGTCCTCTCGGGTCAGACACCCCACTTTGTAGTCCTGCCTGTGTTGGGAAAGTCCGTGGATGAGGACTTGGCACAGTGATGGTTGGAGATTGTGAGGATGGCGCAGAGCGGGACGCGGTTCTGCTCGGCTGTTCAGAGTCCCAGTGCGTCAGAGTCGACTTGATGTCACCAAATAACCAACCCGCGGCGAGCATTGCTAAGACCAGGGCGAGAAGACATACTACGTTACCCGCCAAACCTCATCTGATGATGTCACAGGGTCATTTGAGGGTGGCTACCTATAATTTCTACTGTTTTATTTAAAGGGAAGAAGGGTGGGTAGGAGGGAGAGGGACAGAGGAGAGGACAAAGCACAGATCACACAAACTACACAATATCCAAAATTGGTTGAGCATCATAGGGTGGAGGTGCTAGCGATTTCTGGGTGTTTATGCATCCAAGAGCTGGACAATGAATAAGGATGACAGAAGACAATTGATGCCTTTGAGCTGGAGTGTTGGAGAAGAGCGCTGAACATCCTGTGGACAGCCAAGAAAATGAACAGATATGTCTTGGAGATGGTGCAACCAGAGTGCTCTCTGGAGGCAAGAATGATGACACTTTGTCTCACATATCTTGGACATGTTGCTAGGAGGAGCTATTCCCTGGAGAGGGACGTGATGCTGGGAAGGGTGGGGGGGTTGCTGTAGGAGAGGAAGACCCTCAGCTGGGTGGATTGACATGGTGACTGCTGCAATGGGCTATTGTGTGTCAGGAAGTGTGAGGATGGTGCAGGACAGAGCAGGGTTCATACCTGTTGTTCATAGAGTTGCTGTGAGTTGTAATTGACTCGATGGCACCTAACAACAACTAAATAAATTCTGTGGTGAGGACAGCCAATCAGCCTCCTGGGGTGAGAACAGTCAGTTCACCTCCTGGGGTGAGGACAGTTGAGCTGCAGCTCAACCTGGGATTGCGGGCTCCACGCACTTCTGCTCTGTGAGGGCCCCTGGAGCCCGCAACCAACCTCACTGCAGCTGGCCACAGTGATCCCACGCCAGCCAACAACCCACACCCTCCTGCCTGAAGCCATCTCAGACCCCGGCAGCCAGCATCGGCTTTCCAAGGCTGGAGATCTGACAGAAGTGGACTGTTCACCTTTCTTCCATGGGGCAGCTGGTGGGTTCAGGTAGCCACCCGCTTGGTGACAGCCCAGTATATAATGCTGTGGTTGTTACTGTCAAGTTGGAACTGACTCACAGCTCACCCTCTGGGAGATCAGTCACACTGGAGGAGAGGAGAGTGCCTACTTTCTCCCCTGGAGCATGTGGTGGGTTAGAACCGTGTGCTTTTGGATGACCAGCACAGCTCCTTACCACCAGGCCACCAGACATGATTGTTGTTGTTGTTGAGTACCATCAAGTCAGAACCGGCCCATAGCTGACCCTCCAGCAGGTTTCCAGAGCCAGTTAATCACATGGGAGGAGACTGCTCATCCTTCTGCAGACCAGCTGGTGGATTCAAACCATGTGCCTTCGGGATTACAGTGCAGTTCCTTACCACTACGCCACCAGAGCTCCTAAAGGGAATATGTAAAAGAAGCCGTGGTGGCGCAGAGCATTAAGTGATGGGGTACTGAAGGTCAGTTGTTTGAATCAACCAGCAGAGAAAGAGGGACAGTCATCTCCTGTAAGACTCATCGCCTTAGGGAGCTCTGGTGGTCTAGTGGTAAGAAGCTGCACTACAATCCCAGAGGTACGCTGTTTGAGTCCACCAGATGCTCTACTGGAGAAGGAGGGGTAATCTCCTCCTGCACCAGTCAGAATGAATTATACGGTACTCACGCAAAATAAAATAAAAAGACTCATCGCCTTGGGAAAACCAGGGGGGTGGCCATGTGCTGGGACTGGCACGGGCAGTGGACAGGGGCTGGTCCTGCAGATTCTCAGCCGGTGAAGTCCCTGTGGGTAATAGATGCCTTGGCAGGCAGCACCCTGCTGGTCAGCCATGGCCACTGTGGCCTCAGGAGCTGTCCTTGTCTCCAGAGTTCGTCTGCATGCTGGATGCCTCTGATGAGTTCCTGAAGGAACGGGTGATGAACCTTCCTGAGCACGTGGTGGTGGGGACCCACTACAGCCAGGACCGCTTCCTGCAGGCCCTCGCCAACTACCGAGACAGCAACACGGAGGACGAGACGGTGGTCAACTACTTCGATGAGCTGGAAATCCACCCGATACACATCGGTACTCCCCATAGTCCTCCCTCTCCTCCTCCTTCCCCTCCTCCTCTCCCTCCTCCTCTCGTCCCTCCCTCCCCTCCTCCCTCCATCTCCTCCTCCCTCTCTCCCCTCCCTCCCTTTCTCCCTCTCCCTCATCCTCTCCCGCCCCTCCCTCGCCTCCTTCCCCTCCTTCTGCCCCTCCATCCCTCCTCCTTCCTCCTCTCCTCCGTCTTCCTCTCCTCTTGCCTCTCCCTCACCTATTCCCTCTCCTCCTCTTCCCCTCCCCTCCTTCCTCCTTCCTCTTTTCCCCTTCCCTCCCCTTCCCTCCCTCCCCTCTCTGCCCTCCTCCCTCCCCTCCTCATCTCTGTCCCTCCCTTCTTCACCTGCCCTCCCCTTTCCCCTCCGCTTCTCCTCCCCCTCTTCGCCTCCTCCTCCTCTCCCCTCCCTTCCTCCTGTCCCCTGTCCTTGTAGAACCTAGCTGAGCAGACAGCTCAGTGCTGTCATCACACTTCAGCCTTGCCAGTGTGACTGTTCCCCAACTATACATCTAATCTCTCATGATGGGGTGAAGCTCCTTGGTGGATGTGCCCCTTTGGCAGGTGTCCCCCCTCGACGGGGTGAGCCCTCACTGAGGGTATTCCCTCTCAGTGGAGTGAGTCCCCATTGCTGGTGTCCCCTTTTGTGGGGTGAGCCCTCAGGCAGGATAAGGTCCAGGATCACTTTGCCAGTTTTCAGTGTCTTAATGCTGTTCCTTCTCTGGATTTAGATATTCACAGCTGGGTCACGACCTCAGGGCTCCCTAACCCCATGTTTGCCTCGCACGTGCCCATTAAAAAAAAGGTTGACTACTCACGGCCGCCCAGAGCCTGGTGACCCCATGGGGGCAGCAGGGCTCTGCACATGGGGCATCCTGGGTCCAACCCAGTGGTCAGCCCTGCAGGGATGTTACTGCCACGCCTGCTCTATTAAGGAGCGAACCAAGCCCAGGCCGGGTAGGCCCCAGTCACCACGACCCCTCCATCCCTAGGGCTACCGTCCCTAGGAAGAGACTGGCAATTTTCTTTTTTCTTAATTTTTATTAAATTTTATTAATTTTAATGAACATTTACAGAGATTTTGGATTTCCATTCATTCATTCATTCATTGTTGCACTATTTTCTCTACCCCTCCCAGTTCGGTCCTCTTTTTTTTTCCCAAGACTGCCCATTTTCATCACGCAGAGCAGCTGGTGGATTCCAGCTGCCAGCCTGTGCGTTGCAGCCCCACTCACACCGCCCTCTGGATCCCGGGCTTCTGTGAGGGGAACGGGGCAGAGCCCAGCAGGGAGGGTCCGTGGCTGGCCAGTGACAGAGTGGCACACTGAGTGACCGCTCTAGCTATCCACCCGTCTGCACCCCACTGCCTCCGTAGGAAGCTTAGGTGAGGAGCCACAGTTGGGCACAGGACTGGGTGCCTGCAGGGCCAGTGCCTCAGCAAACTGTCACGTTCTAGAACATTCCAGGCACTATTCTCACAGGCCCCAGTGAGGACACCCAAGTGGTCAGTGGTCAGCTCACCATTTAAGGGGAAGGTGGGAAGCTCATCCCGTCCAGGAGACCCCTTACTAAAGCTTCTGGTTCTTTCTCTCTGTGATGTTACTATTGTGCTCTGGTCAGCTGGCCCTGAGTTTGGACTTTTCTCTAAAGTAAGAGAAAACTGACATGGTCCCTGTTCTATGATGGGAAGTGTATCCCAGAATCACTGGCTCTGTGAAAGCAAAGTGATGTGCGGTCCATCACCCTGTCCAGGCTCCAGCAAGGTGGACTTCCGTCTGTGGAAACCCTTGTCTACTTACATTCCTGCCAGATACGGGTCAGGGACTGGCCAGTGAGGACAGCCACTCGAGTTGTGGGGCAGCTGGGACAGCGTTCCATGTCATGCTGCTGGCCAAGCGTCCAGCTGGTGGCCATGGACAGAGCCTCGCCCTGAGCAGGCCGGCCTTGAGGTGAGCTCTGATGTCCTCTGTCTGGTGTCCAAAGATGTGGGGAAACTCGATGACGCACAGAACAGACTGGCGGTCAAGCAGCTCATCAGAGAGATCGGGAAGCCGCGCAACTATGGGCTGACGGAGGAGGAGAAGGCGGAGGAGGAGCGCAGGCTGGCCGAGGAGCGTCTGCTCAGGGAGGCAGCGGCGGAGGCCGCGCGCAAGCACAGCGAGGCGGTGGAGGCGGCTGAGAGAACGGCGCGCTGGGAGGAGTGGGTGCGTGCCGGCCGCCTGTCCCTGTGTGACCGCACTGTGTGTCTGTGTGTGCGCGCACGTGTGTGAGGTCAGTAGTGTTGTATGCACGTGCACATGTGTGTCAGGGCGTTAGCGTTAGGTCTGGACGTAAGGCCATGGACTCAAGGAACGGACCAGAGAAAGAAAGCAAGCTAAGGAAGCTTTATTAAGGGGTCTCAGGAACCGGATTCCTTGGTCTGCAGAGAGAGAAACAAAACGGGCAGACGGACAGACCAGGGAAATACCGCGCCCTAACGTGGATTGTTGTTGTTGTTATGTGCCATCAAGTCGCTTGCGAATCATAGTGACCCTATGTACAACAGCCCTAGACCCTGCTCTATCCTGTGCCAGTCTCACTGCCTCTGACACACCCATACCGATTACCCCAGTCTCTGAATCAATCCACCTCATAGAGGGTCTTCCCCTCCTGCGCCTTCCCTCCACCCTCCCAAGTATGATGTCCCTCTCCAAGGACCTGTCCCTCCTTACAACATGTCCAAAGTATGTCAGACGAAGCCCCAGAATCCTTGCCTCCAAGGAGCAGCCTGGTTTAAGCCTCTCCAGGATGAATCTGTTTGTTTTCTTGGCAGTCCATGGTACCTTCAATACTCTTCTCCAGCACCACAGCTCAAAGGCATCAATTCTCCTTCTAGCCTCCTTAGTCATTGTCCAACTCTCTGATGCATAACAAGTGATAGTAAAGACCATGGCCTGTATCAGATGCACCTTAGTCTCCAGGGAGACACCATTGCTCTTCAGTACCCTGGAGAGGACCCTAACAGCAGACTTTCCCATTGTAATACGTCTTTTAATTTCCTGGCTGCTGGTGCCAAGAGTGTTGACCGTGGAGCCAAGCAGACTAAAGTTGTTAACAGTCTCAAGCTCTTCACCATCCATCCTGATGCTGCCAATTGGTCCAGTGGTGAGAATCTTTGTCTTCTTGACATTGAGCCTCAATCCATATTGAAGGTTGCAGTCTTTACCAATTGATATATTTCAGCTAACAGATGCTGCCCTGGATGTGCTCACAAAGTTGTGCCAAGAAATCTGGAGAACAACCAGTTGGCCAACTGACTGGAAGAGATCTATATTTGTTCCCATTCCAAAGAAGGGTGACCCAACAGAGTGTGGAAACTATAGAACAATATCGTTGATTTCACACACAAGCAAGCCAGCCAAAGTGGATTAGGGCAGGTTTTAGTGAGGGTCTTTAGAGAGGGACATTCCATTGTGGTTTAGCCAGGTGGGTGGTCTTCTAGGGAGGGAAGGGAGAGGCTGTTCACTCCCTTTGTTGACATGTTGATATTCCTTGAATCCTTTGTTCTCCCTTTGACATGGTCCTGGCCTGACAAACAGTAAGGCCTGATTCTTCTCTATTATTTAACTTCTGCTTATCTCAGGAGGGAGAAGGGATTCAGTAAATACAAACCAAGAATTATGTAGACTCTTAAGGATTGCCTTAATGCCTACCTCTGTAAACATTTAAGGATTTAGTTCAACTGGGTGAATTACAACTTGTATTAGCCTCCTTCCTATCCTGACATGTTGTTGTTATGTGCCTTCGAGTTGTTTGCGACTCATAGCGATCCTATGTACAACAGCCCTAAAACCTGTTCTATCCT